CCTATTATTATATTTGGTTTCCTTACCTTTAACATGTTTACGAAATTGAAGTGCACGAAAAAGTTTCGTAATAGCTGTCGATTGTTCCATCATATTAAACGATGATATTTGTGTTAGAAAGCATCATTATTATATCTTTCGCTCTCTCTTTATATATATTCTAATCAATCTGTTCGATTTAAATCTAAATGAGAACGAAGGGAGAAGAAGGGAGAAGAGTGAAAAGAAAAAATAACAACAACAACAGCATCCCTACTTGTTCTTCTTTTTCGAGCCAATCATTGATTTCATAGTTACGAAAAGAGAGAAAAATTCCTTCTAATTGAACATGATGATGACCTTCAATAAAGTTCACATTTGATATTATTCTTTTAAGTTACTCATATGTGATAATGAGGATAGTTTTTGTTACCCATGCTGAGAAACGATCAATATCTCTGATTATCACGCATTAGGACGGTTATATTTATGTTCAATCAAGAAATTATTTTTTTATTGCGCTTGATTTATCTCGTGGGAACACGATTGTTATCACACCTATACGCAATACAAAAGAAACGGAAAATTTGTTTCGCAATAATTAATCCGATAGAATAGTTTCTAAATACGCTTATGATTTATCAGTTAAATATTCATTCGAAATTCCGTAAATTTTTGATTCATAACTAAGTTTGAAAATAAAATATTATGGATTCTATCTCATTGTACTCGCTAGAGAAATCCGTAATAACATTAGACTTAAATTCAAATACATTTATAAGCAGTTTTGTCAAAAATCATATGCAATCTCAATATTGTTTTCGTCGTTACCATTGGAAACTATTTAATTTATTCTGATTGTTCTATTGACAACGATTCTGCTTCATTAATAAGTATTGGAAATTTCTCTTTTTTATGTTGTGTAATGAACCATAATAATAAACTATAGAATATAGAGCTAGTGTTAATGTAAACTAAATGATATTATAAATATATGTATATATATTTTTCTTTTTTAAATAAAAATATTTTTTTATACAGTAACATCGACAATTTCTTTCCATAAAAAGAATTGTTGTGGATTAAAAAGTTTTTGTATGGCATCATTTGACAAACGACGTTTTATCCAAATTTGTTCGGTATTCTTATCATCTAATGATCGATGTGAATGAAATATTGGACGAAGTGTTGTTGGTGTATCATTTAATTGATTTGTTTTTATATTTGTTATTTTTTTCATTTTTTCATTTGAACAAGTTTTATTCATTGATCGATGCAATAGACTTGACGATGATGATGGATTAATTTCTTTAGTTGTAAAACAAACAGTTGATGAACGAAATGGTTTTGTTTCACGTTGAGAAGGTTTAAATGAAGAATAGTTATTTGATGTAGGTGATTGTCGCATGTAAGATGAAGCACTTTTCATAATACTTGTTGTTGGAGAATTTGGACACTAAATAAAAAATAAAAATTAGTAATTCTTTTGTTTACTAGATTCGATAGACACGAACAAAAGAGTTCCGGTAGATGATCGGTAGTACAGGTGAAGGCGTAAAAACATGGAACTTATTCATTATCTTTGTTCCCATTCAACTCTTACACTCTTTGCCTTATACAAGTTCATACCATATCTTTAATTATTATTTCTTTATAAATCTTCTAATTTAAGTAACCCTTTGATTACGGGTTTTTCTAAGGTGAATCTTTTTTTTCGTTCTAAAAAAGCCTGAAATAACTTTTATTAATACATTGAAGCATTTAATAGTGGGTGTGGGTGTATCTAATATATCTCACTCACACCCTCAAATAAAGGAGTCGTTTTGATCTAGTTAATGACAGTCATATCTCCAAAACTTCAAATACCATATATGGGTGATCCGTAACCAAAAGGTTAAATAACCTTTACTCTCTATCCATTAAAAAACATGAATTATTCATGATATTATTTATGTACTGAGATTATAGTTTATTAGTTCATACATACAATTAAAACGGTCCTTAACTGTATATATAATATAAAGATTATCATGACCTAGGTGAAAAAAAACAATCATACCATTTCTGAAACAAGTGTTTGTTTTAAATCACTTTTAGTATTTCTATTTAATTTAAATTTGGATAAAATTGATGTCCATGATGATCGATCTATATTCGATATTTGTGATTGTCGTTGAGATGCATTACTGAAAGTTTTTCTTAAATGTTTTTGACTTAAATCATTACTTATATTTGATATACGAGTATTCACCGGTTGTCCATGTAATGAATAATTTGATTGGTTATAAGCGAAATTTGATGACATATTATCAACTGATATTGAATATTTATTATTATCTGTTGTTAATTTCCAATTTGGTTCAAGACATATTGTACAATATTTATGTAGAAAAGAAAAACTTGATCGAAATGTTGAACGAAATCGATCCGAAAAACAACAATATAATAGAAAATTCATTGAAGCATTTATAGCAACTAAACAATTTGCAAAATTATTGAAAATAAGAACGTTGGATGTTTCAGCTAATGTGTGAAAAAATGATTGAATTGTTAGTGATATTGCTTGAGGAATTTGACAAAAAGTAAATACAATAACAACAGCAACTAAAATTTATTTTAGATATGAAAAGAAATAATTCATTGGCGACAAAAAAAAATACTTACTTAACATAATTGTTGTTTTTCTTTGTTCACCTTGATTTCCACGATTATGTCGACGTAATTGTATACCTTCTTTATTTTTATGATCATCTTGTTTTGAACGATGAACATATAAAATTAAAATTGTATTGAATATAACAAGAAATAATAATGGAATCCAAATAATAGCAAATCTATAGAAAGATAAAAATATTTAATTTTACCTATTAATACAAGGTACGACTTATTAACAATAGTACTTATGACTTTTTAATTATCCTTAAGATAAAACTAAATACATCATTTATATTCAATATATTTGAATAAGTAATATATACTTGAGGTTAAGAAATAGTTTAAATATTTATTTCGAATAAAATAAAATATCTTTTCAGTCGGAAAATAATAGGTTCTATTTAGTACCTGGATAATACTTTTTTTTAGAATTCATTGATTTAACTATTCCGAAATTTAAACATTGAATATTAATAGAGAGTTTGCCAGAAATAACTTTTTGATAGGAAATCATTTTCATTTATATTCTAGTCCTTTTTGTAAGTGCAGTTTTATTTTGAAGAGATTAGGTTAAAAAAACGGTCAATAGGTTTAGTTATGCACTACAAGTTTAGCACTTATGACTTCAAATGATAGCATGCTTTGAATAGTAACTATTGTTATATATTTAATGAGATTAAATTGCCTTCGTTTTACTGCTAAGTTCCGTTGAGTTTTTATTTAACATAAGAGGAAATGTTTTTTTTCTACCGTACCGCATAAATATATATCAAACTACAAGTAACATTAATTAAAGGGAATCTAATCCTGAAAGGCAAAGATAAGATGCTCAACAAAACTTGAATAGATTAATCTGTTTAAGTAAAAAAATGACTTATAGAAAGGATTTATCTTTCGTCGAAAATACTTACGTCACGAAAGGAAAATAAATCTGATGATATAGAATACTATTTCCCAATGCTGTATGTTCGGCACGAAGACGAGTTGAATTTTTCACTTCAGTATCACGTACAAGTTTCACTTCAAAAGCTGATGGTGATGTACATATCAATGCTGCTAACATAACACTAAAGATAATTTTTCTTGCTCTATGTACAGTACACCATGTACGACTTTGTAATGGATAAGTTATTGCTACCCAACGTTCAACTGTAAATGTAACTGTAAGCCAAACGCTTGTATTTGATGCAAAATCTGCAATTGGTCGACATATTACTGATAGAACAGCTGCTATTGTAGTATCATGAAAGCATGGATTTCTTGTTGTATTAAGTATAAGTGTTAATAAAAGATAAGCAATATCAACAAGAGCTAAGGCAACTAAATAATTATTTGTTGACGACATAATCATACGACGTTTAGTAAGAACAATTATGGCAAGAATATTTCCAGTAACACCTATTTTAAATTAGAATAAGAAAAAAAATTATTTGTTTTCTTAATTTCAAACACGAGTCTATGTCATGATGAGCTCCACTCCCTTTTTTGTACTGATTATAATTAGTATTCTAAACATCTGCTTCAATGGACGGAAAAAATATATGTTTTCAAAGCTGGTGATTTCAGATGTCAAATGAATACCATAATTTATTATAATTTTATTTTGAAAAAGGCAAAGTGTCCTTACCGAAAAAGGTTATAATAGGCCAAAGCCAATTTTTGACTAATATTCGAACAAAAAAAAGCTTTGAATCAGTAGTTTGTCGTGCTATAGTTGATGCATTACAATGGACAAGTCCGAACATAGTTTAATATTAATCGATGCGTCATGTGCGATTAACCAGTAAATATTAATATATGCACATACATTCCAATAAAATAGATTTTTTCTATTTGCAATTAAGCTGTAATAACAAACAAGTTTCACTTTCTTTTGATATTAAATAAAAGAAAGAAAGACCAGATATTTCGATTAAAAAAATATTAATATCACAACGATAGAATGATATTGTTATATCATCTAGAAATATTAGAAATAATAAGTCCTATTTCTGTATGATAGTAACAAAAGCAAGAAAAATAATTAAATATACATTATTCTATATCATACAGGTTTCTTTTCTGTCGACTTGAATATATCATATAATTGAGTAGAAGAACGACACGATTTAATATGTAAGTGTCATGTATATATTCACTAGTTCGTTTGTAAAATAAGAAAAAAAATGATTAGAATTTATTAATCTTTTCTTTTCTCGCTTTCAGTATTGCTAATAAAAGATGTCAAAAAGTGTTATATTATAATTATCAATCATTTCTTTCTTATTCATAGAAAAAAAAAAAAAGAAAAAGAAAATAAGACTTTTACTAAAGGTTATTGTTTGGCTCATATTATTTTTTTCTAAATAAATTTTGTACTTTCTCGACCGATTTAATATAAACTATTCAATAGTCATACGTAAAACACTTAATCGGAAATGTGATTTATCGTACTAAACTACCTAAATCATGTAACTACAAAACTTAGATGAAATATATCAAAAGTTGAATTATCACTTGATAAAAAAACATTTTCCCGATTCTATTCTCTATTGACGTATATATCTATAAGTTATTTTGAAGAAATCTAATCATTTTCAAAAGATTTTTTAATAGAAATATGTCAAATATTAATTATCTATTTTTTTTGCTCTTTGTGACGTTAGTATCGCTCTGATTGCGCTCATAATGTTTTGATTGAATTAATCATTCTCTACTAAGTACATATCCATTTCCTGCTTATGTAGAATAAGGAACCACTTATTTTTATCAAATAGCGTGCAAATATACCTACGCGAAAACTTCTAGTTAAATAAAGGAATAATTTTTTCTAATAAGAAACTAAGTAACATCACTCTAAACTAATAAAGAGACTCCTTCTTAATAGTCAAACGAAAAAACAAACTACAGATTATATAGACAAGTACTTTGTTATGACAAATAATGCGAATAGGATAATCCGTCGATGGGAATGTAATTGTAAACTAAAGAATATTCTTTTTCCTATTCCGTTCTTATCTTCACATTCATCATTACTTTCTTTTTATAACGTCACACAATTACATGTCTTCGTGTAAAATGTAAAAAAAAACATGAACACATGACAAGAAGAATAAAAACATGTAACAGGAGATAAAAAGAAATTCATGCACTTAAATATACGTACTATTGAAGAAGATGCTCTTATTCACTGTTAATAGCACTGATTTAAATAATGATCATATATTTAAATCTACTAGACAATTGAAGTATCTATCACTATATATATATATTATTGCTTCAAATAAACAAAAATATGAATAGAACTGAAAAACTAAACAAACAAGAGATAGACTGAGTACATGTCAAATTCTGAAAGGATTGTCAATCACGTGTAAACTAATCGACAAAAATCTAGTCGAAATTTTTTCTTACTCACATGTATTTCATGCAGATAAAAATATGTAAGTTTCAAATTTATACTTTATCTTTGTTTAATAAAATCAGCCATAGTTGCATTCTTTGATGTCATGAAATGTCTATAAGATTAAGAGCGTCATTCATTTATAATAATAATAATAGTAATAATAGATAAATAAATATAACTAACTTTATATTAGTACACTTGAGCGAACAGATGTTCCTGTCCTATATAAAGAACTTTTGTTGGAAAGTAGATTAATTTAGTGCAAATGGAAGAAAAAGCTAAAATATGATTTTAAACTACTTTATATAGGCTATACGCTTGATTTCATCAGTTTTTTTTCTTCTTCTTCTTCTAAACAAAGTGCAAAAGCAAAGAAATTTTATATGCTAAATCAAGCTCATTATATTATAATATCGCAATAGATATGAGTATACAATTGTGTCAAGCTTCATTTATCTAATGTTGCAAACAACAGATTCAATCATAGAAACGTTGCACGTATATATTACTGTCATAAAAGTGTTGTCCTCATTTTTCAGGAATACATATTTTTTGAGTATTGATGGACAGCTCATAATTATAAAGGACGTGATAATTTTTCTCTATACACGTATTTATTGTCACTAGTTTTATTCTCACATCCGTCTGATTGATACTATCATATAAGTCTAATCAATTATAATAGAACATGATACTGATGAAGCATGGAATCTTATCTTTCTACAAGAGTAATACTTAAATGAAACAAATATTTTAACGGGTAAAAAAATGTACCTAAAACAATAAATATGGATGATAGGGTTAACTATAAGCATGCGTTTCTTTTTTTAGCTATCATTCTATTCAAACTGACTAAAGTCGATCGGAGTGAAGAGTATTTCAATTGAATAATAAATAGTTAACTCGATTTCCTGAGCTCTTACAATCTGTCTCTTTTCCTTTTTGTTATTGATCTCAGTAGTCATCATACAACAAATAACTATTTAATATGCACATCTGGTACTAACGGTGTTTTTATTTATGTTTTGTTTTGTATTGACTATATTTTTCTTTTCTTATAATAAAGAATAACAAAAAAATATCAGTATTCTTGTCCTTATCTGATGAAAGATTATATTAATAATCAAGTTTTTTAATCAATGCAACATATACTCACACATCTAGTGAATCAGATTTTTTTAGTTCATGATATTTTCTGATGTTGATAACTAAATCATGAATAGTCTTGTGTATGATATTATATTTTAAAAAAAACAAGAATTCTAATGAGAAAGAAGAACGAACAACAAAACAGTAACTAGAATTGAGAAAGACGACAACATCAAGAGAGACATGTCTTTCTCTAACTCTCTTTTTTTTTTCTATCGAAAAAGACGATCAACCGCTTTCTTCTTGCTCTCGGCGTCACATTGCATGTTTCACAGAACAACGCTTAATAGTACTGCGACATTTGAAAGAACATGCTGTTCCCTCTAGCTCTAGGCTGATACAAACATGTTACAACAACGAAAAAAATATGGCTCAATTAAGTTGATAAAACAATCTGATATCGAAAAGATACGAATAATCAGTAGGAAATCTTCAGATTTATTATTCATATACGTTAAAAAAGGTTATAATTTACTATATATACTACATATCATAAGTTTTAATGAAAAATAATATCTCTGAACTTGGAATATAAGATTATGATACTCTTTATTTACACATGTAACAACCTTGAAATTAACCATATCGAATTACCCAACTATAAATATCGTTCTTCCTAATATTTCATTAATTATCAGTATAAAAATTGTTTTTACGAGTACATCTAGAGTAAAAAAACATCATTTGCATAGTTGAAATTATCTAGATTTATGTCGTAAAAAATCTGTTAATCTTATAATTCAAACATAGCGTAAGGAATTATTTAATCTTTTGCGCTCGAAGTAATAGAAGAAGAAGAATATTCTAATGAAGTATGCAATGCGAATAGAGAATAGAATCTTTCCGACATGATTTAAAACGACCAGATTAAAGTTCAACGCCCTATTTATTATGCCATCATGATATGAACTATAAATAGTATTATCGTTACTTTAAACTTTTATTTCGTAATATCGTTTGAACAGTTGCTGTATTACTATTCTGTACTCTTTGACAATTTATTCTAGGTTACTAAATATTTATTGATCAATCAGTAAGAAAATTGAATATTAATAGAAATGATTTAATCTCAACTACAGTTTATTCGGGATATGAATAATGAAAAGAAACCATTCTCGTAGGATTTTTTCTTGTATAAAGTTTATCTAGTTGAAATTTTTTTACTAATAACCTTGATTTTATATACAGACGGGAGATAATAATCTATTCATATCATATGAATATTTAAGTACATGAATGAAACCTAGTTTTGTTACATATTAATGATAATATCGGCGATTTTCGCATAATGAATAGCTCATTTTCTGTTTACTACTTATTATGTATATGCCATCATCATGTTATTCATTAATATTCAAGGGCAGAACACATCTTATCAGTTATTAATGAAAACTACTAGTTTATTCCTAATGATGATATCAATATATATACATATATACTCTTTGATCTTCGAAAACCGAACTGTATATATTGGAGATAAATTAAGAAAATGAAATTTTGTTCTATAAATAAAAGATTATGAGAGAATCACTTATCCTGTGTGTATGTAATCATAAAATAGTTCAACTTAATTTTAATCATCTAAAACTTAAAAGAATAGCGTTAGAATAATTGGCATATTGATGATAAATGGATAAGATAAATTATAAATATTACAGTCGAAAGTTTTAGTGGGATGGGTAGATAATAAGCCGAGTTATTTTCTCGGTTTTAGTCAACCATAGGTTGTTGAGTTATCAGACAGTAACTACATTAGATATATTAATTAAAAGATTATGATTAATGTCTTGATATCACTCAACTAATTTAAGCGATACTCGACTTCATAGGAGAAAAAAAAGAGAATACTTACCATTATTATAATATTAGATATCTATTTTTTCATACAGAAAAAAAACAGGCTTCAATTATTTAATAAAATCCATAAAATTTGACATTTGATACTTCTTCGTTGTCTTTTCTGTCAGTTTTAATAAATTTAAATATTTCTATGGCGTATAATAATTATATCATTTCTATCCGAATAAATACTTCTTTTTGACATAACAACATATAAACAAGAATCTATAATTATCAATGAGTAGAAATAGGTAAATTCATAGTGTACAAATCTAGTAATATTTATTTGCTGTCGAGGAGTTAAGTGAATAATTCGCTAATCTAACGTTAGAAGACATTCAGTAGAAAGATGACTGTTCAATGTGTAGTATTAACGTTGTAAATAGAGATAAAGTAAAAGGAAATGTTTTTCTAAAAAGTAAAATGTAAGAGCAAATAATGTCGCTTCTTACATTTATTAACATATAAAACATGTTTATTTCCAATGACGTATTACGATTACCGAACACACGTCATGGTTCCATATTAATTATGTTTGTGCTTCACGACTTTATTTCAAGTCATACCTTATACGACATGTTTGCTGTTAAAATCGCACGACTATATATGGTAATATTATCACTGTATAAAGAATAAGTGCTAATAAATGTTTGTCATCGCTTTATATTATATTCATATATAATTTGTTTGATTGAATCGATAAGAACTTTATATTATATTTCTGTTACTCAAATAGGAGAAATTTTTTATTTATTAATTTAAATCAATATCTCTTTATTGTGTATTATTCGATTTATAGTTTCAATAATTCGATTTTGTCTTTTATTAATATTCATCACAATGGTAACAAGAAAAAATACTATACAAGTCACAGATATAATATGTTAGGGCACCACAGGTAGAAATAACGCCTACAGCCATTGACTAAGCAGAGATATAAGAAAATGAACACGCAACCGATAATCGAATATAGAGCAATATTAATTGAATAATCTGTCGTCTCTTGCGTGTAAAACTGTTGAACTCTAATAGGAACATGGGAACGTTTTCAATGAAGATATTATTGAAAAGTAAATAGATTTATTTTTTTGTAAAACTATTGAAAAGATTGAGCATTGAATAACTAGAAATTGGTTAGTTATTAAGTATTTTATCGACAAGAGTCGTCATGAGCGAACTTTAATAGTTACATAAAGTTTTTATAATATAAAAGTTGTTAAAAGTCATTTTCGACGTCTATTACATTACTTATGTAAAATTTAAGAAAAAATATTTTTCGGAAGGCTTTCAAACAACAATCTGTATAATATTCGTCGCAGTTTCTCTATTATATGAGTATATAAATTCAAAAGTTTATTTCATTTGATTAAGATATTTTACAATTAATCTGTTACTGGTAAAAATTCTTGATTCACAGTTTCAAAACTTTCAGTTGATAATATATGTGATTTTAATCGAAAGTTAGATTCATCTGATGATGCTGTTTGTTCAGCTTGTCTTGCTCGATATTCAAAATCTTGGTGTAACGCATGTATCGATGCTTGTCGATTTAATATATCAAAACCAATATAAGCTATTTCAAGCATACTAAGAACAACATAAGTAAAAAGATTTTCTGTTCGTACTAAATGACTTTCTATATGACATTGTTTTATATTACTATAATCACGTTCATAGAGAATAACCATTAAAAGTGTATGTAATGCAAGTGTTAATAAATCTAATAATTGTATTGCACCATACCATGTTATACCAAGATCATGTCGTACTTTAGAATTTTCCCATTTACGAAATATAATTGTAATTAAACCAAAATAACAACTAACAATTATTGAAATAAATATAACATGTACAATTTTGAGGAAACGTAATTGTTTATGTTCATAAATACAATAATTTATTGACGAAAAACAAGAATATGTTTGTGATGAAAAATTATATAACATAGGTTTTCTATTATATGATTTATAAATATGCATTTCAGGAGCTTTAACATGAATACTATTAAAAACTAACGCACCAAATTCAACACAAAATAAAACTACAATAAATTTTGGATCCATTGTCTTTTGAGGAACAGTCGGAAGACTATGAAAACTTTGTCTATTATACGATAATGGTCTATGAAAATCCATTTTTTTTTGTAATCTAAAATAAATTTTAATAAGAGAAATCTAGTGCAACATATAGTATGAATAATGATTATAATGCTTTATGATTTTATCATCACTTACGTATAATATGAGTATATTTTTCTGGAAGTATATATGAAAAAACTCTATTTGATTAGTGACAAAGATATTTCGTTTATAATCTGATTCATTTCTTTTTCTTTCGAATATATTTGCTTGATAAAATAAAAGCCCTTCTTCCTGAATATACATCATTATGTACTCAAGTTGCATATAATTCTCACTTGATATGTCACAATGAAACCACTTCATATCAAATAAAATGCATATTTATGATTTAAGTCTTTAAGAAACGAAGTTTTACGAATATAAATTAGAATCCATACATGAGGGTGTGGGTATAAATATTATGCACCACTCTCATGATGATTTTCAGTAGCAAAAGTCAAACTTGCATTACTGGTGCAATGAATCAACTCTAATTTCTTTATTCTATATTATACTCCATGTAGTCTAATGTTATATTGATTCTTGATAAGATGTATTTAGAGATTGAAATATGAGATACATAACACGACTATTTATTATGCATTACTCGATATTTGATTTGCTCTATTAAATTTTTGTTTTTTGAATTTAATAATCATATATACTGTTCGTAATGGAAACTCACGATAAAATATTATACACTCGTTAATAAATTATTCTTTGATCATCATTAAATAATTCGTATCTCCCGATAATTATCTATCTAAAGAAAATTAAGAATGATAAATATCGAAGATAAAGTTATATAAAACGAAGGATGTTATTTAACGACTGTTTTATGATGTACTATACATTTATAATGAAATAAACCCACACAGAAAAAGGTATCAAAAACTATATTATCAATGGAATTAACATCAATATTACTATGGTACGAATAAGAATAATATTTTCTTGTTGTTGTTTAAGACAAGTTTATAGTACGCCAGTCGGCTGCTAATATTCAGTAACCATTAGCAATACGAGTATATTTTTTCATTTCTGTTTTGTAATATGAGTCGTCAATATTCGATGTTGTCATCACCTACTTGTTCGAAAACAAATTTATCTCGATAAATCTATTTATACCAAACTGTTTTACAGATATAATCAAAACAAAGATAAGTTTTCTTTCTCATGCTATATATAAATTCAATGTACATTAAAAAGCTTATGCATGATTTTTGTTAAAATTTTATTTGTAATTAAATCCGATGACTAGCTGATTGAATACAATAAATGAATATTATACAAAAATTAAAAGAAAATGAAATTATAGTTATTTTTTGTTATTTGTTTTGAAGATTATTTACCACTGGCTTGTGCGGCTGCTGCTCGAGCTGCCATTGCTTCAGGCATCATAACAAAATGTTTATAAAGTGATTGAATATATGTGAACACACATTTCCAATCAGGTTTATCACCCATTAAAATCATATCATTAACTTCAAGTAATGGTGCACAACCATTATCTCTATTAATAAGAAAATTTTTGTTATTATATTGTTTTCTTGTCCATTGAAATCAAACTTACTCAGCTGCTTTAAATGCTATTTCAAAATTTTTCCTTCTATCTTTAGGATTAAGAGAATCATAATTAATAGCGTTAGGTAAATAATGATGAACAAGAGCACAAAATGCTATACCATCTGCCCATGATGAGGAAAAATTTGTTATATTAATATGCTTTATAAAAGAAAATTTAGTAAATAACGATGATATCTATGAACAATTCAACTTACATTATAACCTTTAGTAACATGTTGACACCAATGTAGAAGACGATCTTTAATACTGGACGGATTTGTTGGTGCACCAGTACCACCCTCACTAGAAATTATTTTTAGAGTATAAGTTTAATAGGTTTTAAAGAATCACCTGCTGACTTTTCCTGTTCCACCAGCTGCTACATCTTTTTGTTGAAACATAGAAAAAGCTGCTTTTGCACCACCAGCAGCTCCCGGGCCTCCTAGAATATATATATATAATCATATCGACTCACCACCGAGATGTTTTCTTCATACCTCGAACTAAATAGAAAAGATATACTATATATATATAGAAATAATATATTTTATTTACCATTTCTTCCGCTCATTATCGTTTGTAATCAAACTAAAAATAGAAAATATACAAACTAAAAATTTTTTTGTCCATTTAGATTTATGTACCGGATCATGCATATATGTACTTCATCTATACGATGAAATTTGAAACTAGTCTGTGTAGAATCGATTTATTTTTGTTCTTTCCTTTTCGATGAATGGAACTCACATTTTCTTTTTATGTTCTCTAGGTAAAGAACGAAAAAAACGATACAGTTAATTTATATCACATCGAGGCAAATTATAGATTTCGAATCAATCGATAAGAACAAAAAAAAAATTTTTTCCTGAAGATATTTATTTAAGAAATATAGAAATTATGTAAAAATATTCCTATGATCAATTTATTATTTAGCTAGAAAATAAGACCTACCGAAAGTTTTTATCAATAGTTGTGGTACTGGTTTTTTTTTGTTATTTTTATCTGGTCGATGCGAGTACGTTCCACACTGGTCCAAATGATATCAAAGAGTCAATAAGGAGAAAGAGTTATATATAGCTTTTATTCTATGGGAAAAGCAGAGACACTTGGCAACCTTCGTCACTAACTGTCCTTATATTCTTTTTTGCTTATGACGAAGACAGCTTGTAATATACAACAAATATTGGCAAGAAGAAGAAGAAGAAAGATGAGGATGTATGAGTCCGTATATCTTCTGCCTATTCATTTATACCAATGAGAAAACAACAAAATAATAAGTACAAGGAAGAAGAATATCGACAAAGAAAAACTGTACGTTCTGCTTTATCTTTTTCTACATCTTGATGATGATAGTGCCCAAAAGAAAAGGAAAGAAATACGTATTATTCATTCTGCTACGCATCTCCAATAAAGAAAAGCTGCTCGCAAGGACAACAAACTGCATGCATATAGTTCTAAATTAGGAAATACACATATATATATATATATATAAGCAATTGCATCGTTGTTGGACCACTCGATAATAGATCTATCGATTACGCAAAATCAACGACATCATCATATGTCTTACTTATACAAAAATATTAATCTTTGATTTTCATTTGTCATAGATAAATATAAAAGGATGATGATTTATTTATTCGAAACAAGAAGAAGAAAAAAAAGATAATATTTGCTGAATTTTATCATATGACCTGCTGTTCAGATATGCCGAAAAAAAACATAAGTACATAAAAAGAAAGACAGAAAACATTATAGTTACATATATATGAGTAGAAGACAAAGCAATTATATATATATATTACAGATTCTCGTTTTATAGCTTGATTATGTTAATATGTCGAGAAAAAGAAATTAATCAGTCGATCGATGGTGTCATATTTTTGAAAAAAAATAGAATGAAAATTTAAAATTAAAAATAAAAATGTTTATACAATAATAATGATCATGATAAAATGAGCAAAGAAGAAGAACAGAATTAATGAATTTATATCATTAAATAATAATATATAAGGTCGTTTGAAAGAAGAAAAAACAAAATCGTTTGCAATATGATTGTCTATTTATCTTCACATATATTTACTGCACTGCAGGTCCTGGTGGATCCTGATGATTATCATGATGTGGACCCTAAGATAATCAATTATAAAATATATAGATAAAAATTTAATATTTTATTTACTTGAGTATTCGGTTTGCCAAGACGTTCACGATTATTACGAAGTGTTCGCGGGCGAAACATAAAAAGTAAGAAGGCAATAGCAAGCCATATACCTAACATTAAATACATATTCATCATTCCTGTATCAGCATTACCACCGGTATTCGGTTGACCAGGTACTAAAATTTTGCTTTTTATGTAAAATAATCAAAAAATATGTTTTTTTAATATTTACATTGACCAGTAAAACATTCAGTATCAGTACATGTTGTTTGTGCGTTGCGTAGCGTATTGATTAAACGATTCATCGCATGTTCATGATTCATTTGAAACATGTTCTAATAAATATAAGAAATTGAACAGAAAATTTAGAAAGAAATATAATCTTACGATGCATTCACATGGATCAAAACCTCCATCAGCACCCGGGTTACCACCAGCGCCGTCCATTATCTATTAAGAAAACTTGTAAATTTCATTAAATTTATAAATATATCACTAGTTACGATGTATATATATATATAGAAACTTGAAAAGGAAAGAATAAAAAACCCAACTGCTGCTTTTGTGTTTATATGGGAACAAAGAATAGTGGAATGAAAAGAAAAATTGAAGTGAATAATGACACTACTGTTGCTGTTTCATGATAGAAAATAATCTAAAGAAAAAGAAGAAACTAGCAGTTTTTTTCTTCCTTAAATATTTAATTATATTTTAACATATGAATTTTCTTAATTGTAAAAAAGTAGGATACGGATGATTTACTATGCTCTCAATTTAAATACAAATCATACTATAACTAAACTGACAACAAAACACATATGTGTTTACTAAAATGACATTAACCAATGGATTACTTGGATGAGTATAAACCTATCGACGTATATTATAGACAGATAGCGCCACGTCTTAAATACTAATACAACAATTTAAAAATAAGAAATTATAAACAATTAGTTTGTAGGAGACAATATCAAATCTTCATTATATGTCTTTTGTTTCTTAACAACTGCAATACGTTCTTCGTGTTCATTCATAGTATTTGTTTCTTGCGTCATTGTTGCGAAATATTCTGCCTGACAAAATGTTGATCGATGTCGTTTGAGAAGAAGATTTGTATTCGATGTAAGAACTGTTTGAGAAGATCGTGTTTGATAACGATTGAAATATGCTATTAAGAAGAAATCAAGTTCAAAAGCATTGCCTGTATTTGTTGATTTTGTTTGTAGTTGTTGATTATTCCACGAATCAACTACATTCTCATCGATATACAAACGAGAATTATCTTCATCATCACTAATAATCATCAAACTATCGCTATCTGTCATAGTAAAGTAAGAAAATGCGCCTATATATATTCGAGAATTTATTTCTTTAAAAGATAAAAACAAATGTTCATAAGAAAAGAAAGAAAGAATTGTATTGTTTATGCAATTATAAGTGGACGAACAACTCGAAATCGCCAAAATTTAGGACTTAAATATTCTGTTGAATTTTCAATATCATTTGAATAGAGTACACCTTCATCAAGTGTGATATAATACGAATCACCTTCTGACCAATAATGACCTGCTGTACGAAAAATAATTTGTGGTGGACCATTATAATAAAGTATTTGAGCTGATCTTGAAACATCAATTTTGTATTCACTTTTTCGTGTATGTGTATTGTAAAAACGAATATAGGCAGGAAATTTAGGACGACTTACTTTTCCATTAGCTAAAATTTCAATAAAATCATAAACTATTCATTTGAAAGTAATACAAAAACATACTTTTTACAACCCAATAATCATCATCTCTATCAATGATACCATCGACATGTTTTTCTGTTATCCACTGGCCATTGATTACAACACATGCAAAGACCAAAAGAATAAATATCCCGATATTGTTCATCATTGTCGAAAAATTTTACAAGTAACTAATACAAAATACGACTCGAAAATGATTTAAAAATTTCTTTTAAATACACATTGATCAAGTAAAACGGTAAGTAAATATTATTTTTTTATGTAAATATTGTGCCCACTCAATAAAATGCATTTATTTTTCAAGCACACGAAAGAAGAATTATTCTAGAATATTCGTCACATGGATTTTGTTTTATGAAATAATACGCCCATTATTGAAAACAAAACTAATAGATAAGTCATGCATTTTTTGTGTTCGAAAACAATAAAACTATGAATGGATATCTCATAACTTGAGATTTACAGATTTAAATAGCGTAACTGCAGTCAAGCATAAAGCATGACAGATAAATGGCATATCATATATATAGACAAAAAAAACAAGAAACGATCTTGCTCTTTCTCTCATTCAGTTAACAAATAGAAGGAACATCTGGCCTTTTTCTTTGTATACATATGACTAAAGAGAAAATGTACATTTTTGTTATTATTATTTTACATCGTCATCATTATCATTATGTCGACTATGCGGATATTATCTGATAATTTTATACAATCATTTGTTCGATGTCTACAATGGAGACATTATTTGTTACTTAAATCTATTGCATTTTTAATAATATTCATTTCATTTATAATTATAACACGAAATCCTTCACGATCATTCCTTTCATCTAAAAAAGATCATGTATCGTTATCTCCATTACTTTTACAAAATCTAATTATTAAAAAATTAAATATAACTGAACCAACATTAGTAATACCACCGGTACCAACACAATCAAATTATCTTGATCCATTTGTATATTCTCGAATTCAATTTACACATAATGATGAACAACGAACTGAAACAAGTCGAAAATGGTGTCAAGCTCAAAGTAAAGCTATTCGTCCACAAGATCTTGAACCATTCAAATGTGCAAATATAAAAGATTTCGAAAATAGTGATCATGTCTTTTGTTTAGATCCATTTATACGTAATTCTTGTTTAGTTATGTCTATTGGAATGGGTAATAATCGACTTGATGATGTCTTTAATAGTCAATTATATGAATGGGGTGGTTGTCGATTACTTACATTTGATCCTTATCATCAACCTATTCAAACAAATACATCAGATATAATGATAACTTTAAAACCTAATTGGATATTTTATCGATTAGGTTTAACAGCATCAGCTGCTATTGATGATAATTCAAATTTAATGACAATACGAAAATTAGCAGATTATGTACATCTTGATTCACTTTCGCCACGTATTGATATACTTAAAATTGATATAGATAATGCAAATGAATGGAGTTTATTAGATGATAGCGATTTTTTTCTTTACATATGTCGACATGTTAAACAATTAATAATAAAAACAAAACCAATATATTCAAAACGATTTCAACATTATCGTATATTTACACTTAAATTAAATAAATGTTTTTCATTATTACGTCGTCGTTCTCGTCTTTATCTACTTGGACGACATAATCAATTTGAAAGTGAATGGTCATTAACAACATTTTCAATAAATCTTGGTTTATTTTGTGATGAAATTGATATGTCGATGTATCTGCTTGTTTATGGTCATTTATATCTTGTTAATACAAAACTTTAATGTACAAAAAATAATAATTCTTGTTGTTATATTAAACAGTGCTTTGTTTTAATATTGATGATAATTGTTTCTTTTTTTGTGGTTGTTGTTGAAGTGATTTTCGAGTATTAGCTGGTATTTTACCATAACACTGTTTACAAACAGGTGTAGCATCAACATCAAAAAATTTACTTTTTTCATTCATTTTTTTTTCACATAATGAACAAGCAAAATGATCAGCACAATATTTTTTATTACAGGCTGTATAAGCTAAAAAAAAGAAGAAATATTCATATTTTTATAAGGAAGAGTTTTATTTAACTTACCACCTTCGGTAATAAGAGTATTACATACGAAACATAATGAACCAAAAAGAAAATGATAATCAGATTCACAATAAGCTAAACCTTTGTTTTCAAAATGTTTACTACCATAAAATGGTTGACCACAACGAGCACAACAAAAATGCTCAACATGCCATTGTTTGCCAAGTGCACTAATAACTCGATCATCAATTAAACGTCGACAAGCACCACATACAGGTACATCAAGTTTATTATAACATGGAAGACAATATAATAAACCGCGTACTTCTCTACCGTTTTCATCTAATTGAATTCTATAAAACAAAGATATTTTTCTTTTGTTTGAATAATAATAATTTCAACTAACTGGCATGATGTACATTGAAAATGATATGCATGATGATATTCATCTTTATATTTCAAACAATGATTATCAATAATTTGACTAGAATAAATAAAAATACTGAAACAAAAACGTATGTGTTTTTTTTCTCTTACTGGCATTTTGAACAAATATGTTGTGATAAACTTAAATCTTTTGCTTTTTCTTTTGTATGACATTCTCGACAAAGTGCTCTAACAAAAATTTCAATATTCCTATGCTATTTTTTTTATTTTCAAGACAAACCTTCCATTATATTTCGAAAAACCCATTTCAATCAATGGTATTTGACATAATTGACAACGAAAACAATCGGGATGAAAACATTTTTGTATTGCTCGAATAACACGACCAACAATAGCTTGTTCTAATTAAATATAAATTAAAACTATGAAGAGAAAATATTCATATTAAACTTACTACATTCAGCACAACATGGTGCAAATAACATTTGAAAATCTCGTTCACAATATTTTCGATCTTCATGCTACAAACAAGAATTCAATTATAATTAATTAAATAAATTTAATAACTTACTTCAAAATAGATTCCATTTTCAAATGGTTGAAAACATTGTGTACAACTATTTGAAATATAAAAAAAAATATTAGAATATATCTTTCCTCTTGACCTTTGTGATAACATATTAATGTCGAAATGATATATTCTAACTATCTCCAGATGGAATGAAGGTCATTTTTGATTTTAACTAACTTATGATTGAAAAAATTAAAAAACATACACAAAACAATGCGTGTGCCAAATATGTCCAGCTGCATTGACGATTTGTTCATTGGTAGCAAATGATTGATGACAATTGGCACATACGTTATCTGACAACATGAGACTAAAAATAAAAAACAATCAAATTTTCTATTTTCTTATTCTCTAACTACCGAAATATATTAATCGGTCTAATAGGACTATCATTATTCTTTTGTTTTCTGTTTTTAGTATCTTCATTATCCAGATCAAGTGTTTCAAGTAAACGATTTAACATATTAATACTAGACGATATAGTATTCGTTTCGTTATGTTTTGTTGCGGATCTTGGTGAAGAATATATTGAAGACGATTTGTCCATATCATTTGACATTGATAATAATTCAGCGAGTGCTTTATTTAATTCAGCTTCTTTGGTAATTAAGTCATGAAAACGAATTTCATGTCGTTTACCTAACGTTGTTAAAGCAGCTGTATCAATATCTGTACTTCGTGTCAACATTTGTATTGGATATTGATGATTATGATTATTCTTATTCTCACTAGTGCCGTTTGATGACGGCGGCGTTAGGTTTGGTTTATGACTATCGTTATTCAATGTTTGATGTATTTTGTCGTCTTTTTTTTTCTCTTTTTTTCCTTATCATTGGTGAGTTGGTGTCGATGTATTATTACTACTGTAACTATTTGATTGTCATCGTTGATGGAATGAGAAATTGACGAACAGACGTCATTGTTGATGATGTCGTTTTCATTACTCTTATCCTTGATTTTCATTGTTCGTATGGACATGTGGCTACCATTAGATATAACCTCATTAATAATCGGTAACAAATCTTGAGCACATGTATAATAAGATGATAGATTTGCACGTGTTTTAAATTCATAAATTAATTGTGAAATAGATCGATTATTTAAGTTTTTAATAGAAGATAGAATTTTTTTTATTCATTCATCGTGAGAATAAAAATGAAATGGCAAGAAGAAATATGAGATGATAGCGATGCGCACCAATGATTGAGAATTAAAAAAATCATTTTTAGACTTACTTAGTTTAGAGTAGTTTCCTGAGTGACTAAAATTACATCTAGAATAAAAAAAAATGAAAGATTTTATTAGGTTCAAAAAAAAAGACATCTATTGAGAAATTTGAAGAATATGAATAGACACATAAGCAAACAAAAGAATATCACAGATTATAATCTGAGTGAATAATTTATCATCGTGGATGTGGAGAAGTAAATTTTTTCATAGTAGATATATCACCAGAATTCATAAATACATTTGGAATTGAATTTCCAAAATAGATTGTTGTATTCTGAGATAATGCTTGATACATTGACCATTGTAAAAATTGTGGTGTAAATTTAGCTTTATTTGATTGAGCTTCTGTATCACTTTGATATTTATTTGCATCGGCTAGAGAACGTTCTTTAGCAAGATGCATTTCAGCTTCAATTTCAGCAATACGTTTTTCACTTTGTTTGCCTAGAATTTTTTGTTCATATTGAATTTTAGATACTGCAGCTAATTTTTCAGCTTCAATCACAGCACGACGACGATCAGTTTCACCTTCTTTTTCAACAACTCTTTGATGAGCAGTTGTTATCATATATCTATATAATATAATTTCAGCATCTTACAAAAAATAAAGAAATAAAATAGTTACTGAGTTTTTTCTTCTTCCATTTTTTCGTAATTACGAGCAATAGCATCAGGAATTTTTGGTTTTGTTACTTTAAACAAATAATAAATATAGTACTAGATATGTTCAGACTTAATACTTTACCTCGAATTGAACTAACATGAAGACCAGGTGCTAATATATTTAAATCATTCTGTAATGTTCGTTGTATATGATCATCTATAGTTGCAAATAAATCAATATAAATTTCTCGAAGTGTATGTACCTAAATATTTTCATATATAAATCAGTATTATTGATACATTTTTTTTTGATTACATACCGAACAAAATTGATTAACTTCATGATGGATTTTATCGAATATTAATGTACGATCATAATTAACTGTATAATTTCGTACAATGTCAATAACTGCTTCTCGACTAAGAATATTAACAACTTCAATTTTTTCAAAATGAATCATTGTTCCACCACTTGTACCACAAGGAATATTTTTTACTAAAGAAATTTTTCGAAATTCGTAACTTTTTCAATCTAAATATATATGTATTACCTTCATCTTTGTGTAATGTTATTTGAACAATTTTTACTGATGTTAAAAATGGAAACATAACATGATAACCAGGTGCAGTTATTAATGTAAGAAGAGCGCCACCTCTAAAATCAAAATACATCACAATTAGACAAGATAGAAAAATGTTATATAATTTGCCTATAATATATACCAACATGTCCTTCTGGTATTTGATGAATACTTAATGCAAAGAAAGCAGCAACAACTGCCAAAATAGCTAAACCCTTAGCAAGCATTACTGAGTTGCTATCTAAAATTGTAAATAAAATGAACGAAATGATTTGTACAGAAAAGAACAGAGTAAGTAAGAAAAACAAATGACAAATAATGAGTCATCATCACTTTCTTATGACTAATAGTATATATTGAGGTAGATACTATTGATATATAAGAGATTTAATTATACATTTCTTGTTTGTTTTTAAAATTTTAATTCTATTTCAATATAAAAAAAAAGAAATAAACAAAGGAAAACAAATACTAGCGTCATCTTCAGGTTTTCAACCAAACTATAATGCTCCCAACGTTATTATATTATATTCTTGAATAAAATGATAAACATTAGAGAAACAAATAGAAAATGATATTTCATAAATCTTGGGGGTGTAGGTGTGGTTATTCACTTGCTTTCGCGTCTACACTCTCAACGTTTGATATCATCGTTTGATGGATAGTTTCTGGTAACAATGACGAGAAAATATATGACGTAAAATCAATAATAAAAGTTGATTCTGTTATTAAAATATAAGCTTAAAAAATCAAAATAACATTCTCATTATTTATTGGAAGAAATAATGAATTCTAATCGAATTCTAATAAATAATACGGTAAGATATCGTATTAATATGAATAATAATCTTGAAAACTATCGAGATACATTCAACATCATACACTACGAGTATTATCAAATGGAAATTAAAATAATAATATGTAAGAAGTGCTATTAAATTCATAATTTACATCGAATTATTTATATCAACTGATGAAAAAATTCTAAATAGATCAGTAGTATCTAATTCGAAACTTGTATTCAACTACTCATCCCTTTACTTCCATCTCTTTATATATGCTCATATTCAAAATAAGTTACACATGTAGTTTCTGACGTTTAGTTATGTATAAAAGATAGAATTTATACCATAAGTACCATGTGGCAGTACCCAACTATACAATATATATTTGATCTTCAACTGTTAGAATTTGTTAGAGAATAATGGAATATGCTTTATGTACTATGGTGTATTTATTGGGGGCGTGGGTGTTCATCCCTTACCCACCCACACCCACACGCTGAGAAATGAAAACTGCGTTTTATTCGTAATTGTTTGAGCTTTTTACTAATACAAAGAATAAAATCAAACTCATCTTTATTTTTATTTACAGTAACCAGTAATGATAAATTGATATGTCTATTCTTAAATTTATAATAAATAACTTAAAATATATTATTCACCTCATCCATGAACATAAACATAACTTCAAGCTATATTTGACTCACAGCTTGTTGTGTTTGATATGCAATATACTGATAACGACTTTGAATCTCGATTCAGAATATTGCAGTATTATATCATAATTTACTATGATTATTTTGAAATTTTTTTAGAAATAAAATAAAGGTATTCAAATTCGTCCAATCATATTGCTTATAAACGCACACAAATGTATTAAACATTCCAACGCGGTTATAAAGGATATAATATTGTCTTTTTTTCCAACAAAAAATTCGCACGTGTTAATTTGTTCGTTCTCTCTTTTATTTCGTTTGCTTACCTGCGCACGCAAAACAGTCTTTTTTTTTCTAACTTGTAAAAATGTACACGTATCCTTCTCCCGAACATCATTTATTTTTTTGTTGAGTCATCATATGATGTAGTTAGAAGAAGGACTATGGAGAATGCAAATGATAATACTAGTTATTCTAAATTTCATACATTACTTAAAATCGTTTTTATACATTATGATCAACTATGTTAGAATAAACGAAATTGCCCAAATTCATCCAGTACAATCGTACTTTTGTTGTATATTTTGTTTTTCAAAAGTAGTAAGATATCTTATATTGCAAAACAAAATTGGAAAAAGAAATTTTAAAAAGAGAATGGACAAAAATTAAAGATCCGAAAAAGCATGCTATAAATCATATCTCTTGAATTTATTTATAAGAATATACTTCATCAACAGACTTCAAGCAAAGGAGTTTTTTTATATTAATAATATTTTTATTTATTCATCTATTTTACATTTATTTTGTATCGCACCATTTAGATAAATACAATATTTTCGTTATTTTTTGTTCAGTCAACATAATCTAATTGAAATCAGTTGTTATTCGAATAATAATTTATTCTTGTGATTGTAAATTTGTTTTTTTCCATGATATATTTCAAATAAGTAAGACTTTGTATTGCAATAGTACTATTTTGTTGTTTTAGTTGTCTAATATATGATGAGAACTTGGATTGAATGAACATTAACTTTGATTCATTTGAATCAAGAAGTTGAAATAAACCAACAGTACAACATCAATTCATATAAGAGAGAGAAAAATCAATCATGCATATAAAATGGTCTTTTGTAAATCCTTATTTTTGTTTTTATGGTTTGATGTATGTATGATATTTAAGAACAAAGAAGAAAAGAAAATATGGTCTTGTCTAGTCAGTTTAGAGATAACAAAATAAGGATAGCAGAAATAAGAGTTACTCACTCACTCGCTTACAAGTCACTTTCGTTTGTTCTGCCATTGATGCACATTATACATACAAAGAAAATTTGTATGTATGTTTTCTTTCGTTCTATTGCATTAATACACTAATTCTGTGCAATGAATAACGTGCATCACTAATAAAATGAAAATAACAACTATGAAGCGAATATCTGATATTTTTCTTGTCTCTAACGGATGAATAAATACTTTTGCTGTAAAATTTTAATTTATTTTAATTCATAATATTTTATGATTTTGGTGACGAACAAATAAATAAATAAATACATAGATAAATGGAGTAACATGAAAAAAAATGAAATAAGATTGACGAGAGAAGAATGAAGAACGTTTGTATATTATAATAAACGATGCAGTGGGTATTGATATGAATGTGTTGTCGAATATATACAGAAACATTTATATCCATGTCTTCGAATTACTCATTGAATTTTTGAGATAATTAGATAACTTTTATGCTCTTCAATCCATCATGCATTTCTATGTTCAAAAGAGAAAGCATATTTGAATGTTTATATGAAACTTTTTAAATATAAATAAAACTTATTGATACTTTCTATTCCACACTTCGCTCTTGTGATGTTTCTTTCAGGTAATTTCCAATTAGGGATAAATCGAGAGGATCCTCACGTTTCCTTTTCTGTCATATATATGTGTATGTGATTCATATACAAGTATATGATAGGAAAAAAATGTCCATTACATAATATGATGGATTTTTCCCCAAACAGTTACGAATCCTTACCTGTACAATTGAAAAATAACATTAGAGATGTGCGTCTCTACGTAATTATTTCCTTGCTACGAGGAAAAAACCACCCTTGGATGAATGATCACTACATATAAAAAGAGTATATATAAGTACGTATTGTTCATACATTTATTCAGTCTTATTAGTTGTTTCTTTTATTTGCAACTAGGATATTTATTCATTCGTATTTTATATCAATCGTCCAATATCGTATTGAACAGGTAACTACTGTAGTATTTTTGGGTGTGGGTGTGGGTATGAGTGAGACAGAAATAATCACATCCATACCCTCAAGAGTTCCTAGAGTTTATTAATCTTTTTTTTCGGATTGTATCATCAGATAATCAATGATCAGTTGTGAATGTCTGGGTATATCATATGATTAATTCAGCAATAGTTAATATTATTTGTCACCATGACAAAACACCATTCGAGGTCATCGACAAATATTTCTTGTGAAGTCAAGTTGTATATCGGAAATTATAATTCAGAATAATAAAAATTCATTAAATAGAAAAAAATGATTTTCTAGTATATAGTCCTTCGTACTTGACAGTTTCGAGTGCTTTTTTTAAAAATATTCATTAATACAATATTTATTTTTGCTTCTAGATAAAAATCCCAAACCTCATTCCAATGCCTACGCTATCTCTAAGTCCTTGTCTTATTGGTGTTTCAGGAGGGCCATGTTCTGGTAAATACAGACAAATATTTTTGAATTAATTACGAATATTTCTATAGGTAAATCAACAGTATGTCAAAAAATTGTCGAAGCATTACAATCAAAAGCTGGTATGGGTCAAGCAAATCGTGTTACTGTTATAGCAATGGAAAATTTTTATAAACCTAAAACAGCTGAACAACGTGATTTGGCTTTACATGGAAATTATAATCTTGATCATCCGAGTGCATTTCATGAACAACTTCTTTTTAATACTTTAAAAGATTTACTTAATGGTCAAACTGTCAAAGTAATAAAATAACGTAGTGATTTGTTTTTTAATCAATTCAGTATTTAGATTGCTCGTTATGATGCTGGTAAATATGAACATATTAAAGGAGTTTTTGATACGATTGAACCTGTACCAGTTATTATCGTTGAAGGAATTCTTGTTTTTTATTTTCCTGAAATTCGAGTAACGATATTTTTTTTATGAAAAAAGAAATTCATCGATGATTATTTTAGAATTTATTTCAAATGAAATTATTTGTCGATACAGATGCTGATACTCGTTTAGCTCGTCGTGTTCTACGTGATATGAAAGAACATGGAAGAAATTTAGAACATATTTTAGCTGGCTATATAAATCATGTTAAACCGTCATTTGAAGATTTTTGTTTACCAACAAAAAAATATGCTGATGTCATTATACCACGTGGTGCTGACAATCACGTTGCTGTGGATCTTATTATACAACATATCAGAGATTTTATTCAATATAAACCAGGCAAAACTGAAACCCAACAATCAATAGAATATAATTTACGATCCCGACCTCATTAGAATGCTTTCGTTTCTTTCTTTTTATAAATTATATATGTATATTTTATTTTTTTTTTATTTATTTAGGCAGAATGAGACTGACGACCTTAAAGGTCCTTACAGTACCTGATTGAGTTAGAAGAGAGAGAAAGAAAATAGAAAGAAAATAGTATAGTTTAGTATATATAAATATGAGAAGAGTAGCATTAGACAGTAACAAAAGAGGTACAAAAACAAAACAGATCAACACAAAGAGGAGAGAAACAAGAATATGTAATACATAGTTACATATTTGTTACAACAACAGTAACAAGATCCAAAGAAGAAGAAGACAAGAGGAAGGAGAAAAGAAAAAAACTTCAGAACGATTCAGGGAAATCGGCCAAGGTCATGACATCATCAATATCATAGTTGATGGTGGAATGATTGGGGGGAATACTTGCGCACCACGTAGCGCATTTTTCCAAAACAGAGGTGTGGCCGATGAATCTTTTAGTTCTATGAGTACCCTTAACTGGATATTTATTCTTAAGCCACTGTTCCCGGAAGAAATTGACGTTAGCTAATTCGAAAATTAGTCTACCATCAATCGTATCCGACCAGGCTTCGAAATACTTTTCGAAGTAGTTTTTACAGCGGTCTTCAAGGGATTTTTCATTGAGACAGAACGCAAAAAGATCATTATTAATGTACAGGGCATAGAGAACTCTACGAAGGCAAACGAAGTAGAAGTGGTTCAAGTCTTGTTGCTGTGTTTCAGTAAAGAGTGGGTACAAGGGAAACAACCATACGAATAGAGGATAGACATAAGAGAAGAAGAGGATTTTGCGTAGAGAAGGGGAGGTCCTACGAAAAAGCCTAAATGAGTTAATTTGAGCAATTCGTTGTCTAATCTTAAGCTTAGATTGCTCGATCATAAGGCCGAAACCTAACTTGGGCGTGACAACGTAACCAAGATATTTTAACTGATTTGTCCACTTGATGGGATGTTCACCACAACGCAGATCAAACTTAGGATATCCGGGTACTCTGGATGAAAAAATAGCCTGTGTCTTATTGTAATTTAACGGTTGAACCGTTAAAACAGAGTAAAATTCTAACTGATCAAAGAAATATTTGAGTTTCTTCTCGAGATTTAAACATTGGAGCGAGTACTTCATTCCAATAGAACCGGCTAGAACAGCTGCAAGGTCGTCAGCGAACATAAAGCTCAAACATGAACTCAGATATTCGCACATATCGGAATGATAACAGATAAAGAGAGTCGGAGTAAAGATGGACCCTTGAGGTCCACCTCTGAAAATATTGAACCACCTCGACCGCTTACCACAAATCTCAATGAAGGCACGCCTATCCCTCAACCATGTGTTGATCCAAATCCGATAAGCCCTAGGAATTCCTAACAATTTCAGTTTGCCAATACAACCATCATACCAGAGAGCATCAAACGCGCTCTTGAAATCCACGAAAACGGATGCCACTGGACAACCATTAGACATCAGACTACGAACTTGATCAAAGAAAAGGAGAACTCTAGTTTGTAATCGGAATTTCGAACGAAATCCCGATTGGGCATCGGGTAGTAGTCCACGTTTTTGCAGGACTTCATTAAACCTTGTTAGGAAGATCTTTTCGTTCACTTTGAGGAAACAATCGATAAGTGATATAGGGCGCGTAGCATCAGGGCTGCAAATATGATCTTTTTTAGCTAATAGCAGAACACGAGAATCTTTCCATTTGGAAGGAAAGATACCATGCAAGAGAGAATTATTGAAAATCTTCAGTAATAACGACCAGTACATAGGAGGAAGGAAGCTAAACATGTGATTAGATAAACCGTTTGGATCTAAAGATTTCTTTTTCTTGCGAGAACGCACAATTTCCAACACCTCGTTAAAGCTACATATAGGTATGGCCTCATCTTCATTATCCCAGTCAGCTCTGCAAGGAATATCAGTATATGGATGAGGACGATAGACTTCGGGTTCGCTAAATAGGTTTTCATAATAATCAGCTGCCACATCACTCATCCTTTGAGGATCATTCTCAAATCCTTGATTGTTTGGAAGAATGAATCCTTGTAAAGAAGACGAGGAGGATTTCATAAATTTTTTGGTTTTAGACCAAAAAGAGATAGAGCGAGATGAGGGAGAATTACGTGATGCAATTGAACTCGAGAACTGTTTAGAAAGAAACGTTTTCAATTCAATCTTAGCAATTTTTCTTCTTGTTCTAACTATATTTTTTAAAGATAAATCACCAGTACGTTTTTGCCTGAAGGACAATGCTCTTGTATAAGACATAAACATCCGAAGTTCAGGTGGAATAGCAATTCGATACTTATTCAAAGGAAAGAGAAGAGTACAGCGTGCGATGAGAAGATTCAGAAAAGTAGTGTAATCGTTGTAAACGATATCTAGCTGATTAAGATTCCAATGTTTTTCCCAAAACGGATAAACATAAGCGCTAAAAAATTGGAATACTTTCCAATGAACATTCTTACCGAAGACAACTTCATTTGTCTTACATGGGACACTACAGAGAAGCGGTTTATGATCACTAGAAGAACCTGATTCATAAGTTTGAATGTTAACAAAAATACCGGATGAAAAAGCATAATCGATTGTACGCAAGGAACGAAGAGAAGTGAAAGAGTCAGGGAGGAAAGGAGAGAGTGAGTGACTATCAGCCCATGATAAGAGAATATTACCTTTGGCTATATCAGAGTTTAAATCGACATTAAAATCACCAAAAAACACACAGTTAGATGAAACGAAAGTGGACAGATCGTCCCAAGACCAGCTTCTACTTTCAGACGCATACACTCCAATAACTCTTAAAATACTATTTGTCTCATCATCTTGGATAATGTCTACCGCACATACGCTTGGAATATTGCTAACTACTCTAACGCAATTCAACGCATTACGAACCAAAATCAAACAACCTCCGTGTGAGTTTTCACCCTCCTGAAAAAACAATTTATAATTCAAAAAAGTTTGGCGACAGTGAGTCATATCGAATGATCCTGTTTCCAGCAAGATCATTATATCAAAACGAAAGGAATTGGATAGCAGTATAACATCCTGGAGACGTAAGTCGAGACCTCTAACGTTAAATGAAAGAATTGAAAGAGAGTTGATATTGGACGAAGTATCAATGATCTGGTGTTTTTCCCAATGTTGAAGTAGACTAGATAGAAGAGAAGAACTTTCCCATTCGGAAAGAATGTTACACAATAGAGAAAAGTCAAAGGAAGAAAGACAAGATTCAGCACAAGATAAAAAATTTTCACGAATATTGACAGTAAGAGAAGAAGTACAAAACGAGAACGAACTAGCAAAAGGAGAAAGTGTCATAAAGAAATTTTTTTACCTGAGATAATTTGATCAATTAATGCACGTTTAATATGAATTTGAGATTTGAATTCAGTGACAACATTTCCAGTAGCTTTAGGATTAGTTTGAACAAGAAAATTTGAGATTAAATCTAATGTTGGAAGAATCAATCTTTTAATTAATTTATCATTGTTGTCACAAGCTTCTTTCGTAATTTTGTCATTTGTGATTATACGTTCAATCTTTTCTAACATCAGCTCGTCATTCTTGTTTTTACTTACCATAAAATCATTAAATTCCTTTTCTTTCGAACATAAACGATTTAACATAAATTTCATTTCATTCATACCGGATAATAATTCTTCGATTTTCTGGTTAGACGCAGCATAAGATGATGGTAAAGTTGTTCCTTGTGGTAGTTGAAGAGAAGGATAAAGTGCAGGATCATGTACGTAATTATAATTTTTGTTTGCTTGAATATTTGTCGATAACAGTTTCTTAGTAAGTGCAGCTCGATAATCTTTTACAACGACACAACGAAGCGAGTTGGAAGCATGAGAACCGCCACAATGAACACATTTGATTTCATTAGAGCAAGTATGTTGACGAAGATCCGGACAATTAATACCACATGTTCTACAAGTTTCATTAAGTTCTTGACATTGACGTTTAAAATGGCCGATGCCACAGCATCGCGAGCATATAAGAACATCCGCTGGACTAAGATATTCATCAATATCATAGACCATTCGCATAACTTTAATTCTTTTTTCTTTAAGTAATTCTTCACGAACTGTTGTTGATAGAATTTCAATTTTTAACATTTTAATTTCATTTTGGAACTTATTTTTTAAACGAATAACATTATGTATTTCGGGATGATCGATTTTTAATTCATCAGTAAGTTCATGTACGTTCATTCGAAGATCTACATTTCTTACCACCAGAGAGAGTTGAGCTGGAAAAGAGGGTGGTGATAGAAACGTATAACGTTGATCACCAATAACATGAGGCCATTTATCCTGCAAATATAAAGCACAAAAAGAATCAGCATTTTTAACATAAATAAGAAAATCATAATCAAGCTGGGTGCATTTCGTGGTGGACAGACGTATATTAGTAAGTTGAAGATCAAATTGGTGGTTATTCGTAAAGTGTTGAACGAGTTCATCAGCTACTTGTTTAGCTTTTACGCTACCAGAAGAAAAGCGTATTGTAAAAGGAGAGAAGGGAAAACGAGTTTGTGCATAACGAGTAGCAGCTGTTGATATACTATATTGTTGAGGTCGTTGACGAGGTGAAGAAACTTGTTGACTATCGTTGATGATCGAAGCATTATGTAAAGCATTTCTTGTATTATTTGTAGGAGATAGCTGATGAAACCTTTGATTTTGTTGATAACGAGTTGGATAATTATGTGGAGGAGGGTTTGAAGTAAATTGTTGTGGCGAGGCAGGAGAACGAGAATTGTGTTGGTTGAGTTGTTGATTAACATCAGCAACATCATCATCATTTCTAGACGAACGATTGGATTGTTTATGTTTTTTTGACTTGACTGTTGCAAAACCTTCATTATCTTCATAATCGTCACGTCCACGTCGAGAAGTATATGAAGGTGAATCAATAGGATGTAAGTTTGAAGAACATGGAGGAGGTACACGATTGTGATGATGATTAGCATGTTGTTGAAAATAAATGTTCGATTGTTGATCGTGATGTTCGAGTGAGTCACCATTTGTAAGTAAAGTATGATTAACAGATTGACTAGAATGCCTATTTGATTGATCATTATAATGATTGTAAACACTTGGTCTTCCACGATGATGATGATGATTATGTTGATGAGTCATCGAAAATTCCGTTAAAGTTAATCAAAATTAACGAAAATTTGATGACGATTAAAGTTCGTGCGGTCACGCAGTGAGCGCGTGATAAAGAAAGGAAAGAAATATATATGTGTGATATATATAAGATACGTGTGATCGCTAAGTTAGACTAGACGTGAATGAATTATATATGTATATTTATCTTTAAGTAGTAGTCAGATTAAGAATTATCTTTTTTTTTTCTTCCCTACGACAAGTTCAATATGTACAGTGCACAATGCAAACCGTTTGTTTTTTATTATGCACCATTATGTATTATGTAGTCGAAATAATGCAATTATTGAGAATTTCTTCTTTTTTATTTATAAATAATATAATCATAATATAGATATATTTGTCATTATTCGTATTTTTTTTTAAGTTTATTCTTAATTAATAACAAATCGCAATGGTATTATGTTTTGAATTGTCGTATTTATATAGAATGTAGAGAACTTTTATCATCATAGATACAACTATTTGATCAGGAATAAGACTAGAAATTATATGATAAACTCAACAATCATCTTGAGTGTGGGTGTGGACGAGACGAAGGAACACCCACTGACCCACACCCACACCCAAACTCACACCCACCACACCCACACCCACACCCTCAACACCCACACCCACCCTCACCCTCACCCTCACACCCACCCACCCTTCCAATAAATTAAGGCAAAATATCGCTGCTAGAATGGAAACTGATAGAGAAAATCTTGCAAATCAAGCTCGTGATATTATACGATTAGAGCAATATAAGAAAGATGTGTTGACAATGGGAGGATTTATGCATCATCTTGGCGAAGAAAGACCCATGTTAGATGAATCTGAGGGCGCTAAACCTTATGGGTCAAAAGCAGCAGGACACTCAAACGAACATGTACAAGGCAACCTGTCGCTTGAAAAGATAGCTAAAAAACCAACACATACAAATTTCATTAGCAAAAGTGATCACATCAAATGTACCAAAGAGGGTATGGACTACATCATTGAAAACCAAGAATTTTCACAAAATCCACAATTTGTTAAAGCAGAAGTGACATTCCCTTTAAAGAAACCGATCCTCATCACTGTTTCTGGGAAAAATAACGAAACAACTTACGATTTCGCTGGCAAAGCCACAATTGTTCTGCATAATAGAAAAAATGATCAAAATCAATCAGATTTGCGTGGCCCTGTGCACGCGCAGACAATCTTTGCTCATCAAGCAAGTTCTGGAGACAGTCCTGGGTATAAACTTACAGTAACCAGAATAAATTCGCAAACCAACAAAAAAGAGGTAACAACTACTACTCATATTCCGGATGAACAATGGGTGACACTAAGAAAGTGAGGATGTGTTGATAATGTATACAACGACACACATTGTATCATCTGTTTTCGTTCTCGATCTCTTTCTCTGTTTTTTGTTTTCAGGCGTGATTTCGTGCATTACGTCATATAGTCCATTGTTGTAACACTTACTTCCAACCTAGGTGGCAATGTTTAATTACACAAGTCTAAACATTATTGACAATGTATTACTCTAATTGTAACTTTATTTTTTTAATATGTATTTCTATTCGTTTAATGTAATAATGAATTGTTCAAATAATATTAATTGTAGAAACTTCGAATATTAGTTCATATATAGTCAATTGTAAAATATTTACTTGATACTGATAATAAATTTATCAAAACGTCTTAATTGATGAAAAGTCAAAAATTTTGTCTTTATTTATTTGCGCTGCTGTTAGAAAACTTTTCTTATCTTGAGTCAAAAGCTAACTTAACAACATCTTGAGGGTGTGGATGTGAGTGTGAGTGTCCATCTCTTATCCACCCACACCCACAAGCAAATAATGGGTAAACTGTATAAAGATAATAATCAAAGAATTGTGTCATGCAAATAATAACATCAAATGCAATAGGTTTAAGCATTTCAATCATTTTCATATAACGACCTTAAATTTGAAAATAAATAAATTAATGAATAGAAAAAAGATTTGTTTACCAAATAATCTGATCACGTTTAAAGTTGTATTTGTAACAATGGTAGATTCATTTTTATCATCGTGATAATGAGAACGATTTCCATACATTGAAGATCTTTTTTGTTCATTTTCACTATCTGATTCTGATGATGAATTTGAGTTTGAACGAACTTTTCTTTCCGAAACAAAATCATATAATATCGTATGAATTTATACTGTATTGTAACCATGAAGAGAAAAATGTTGTTCGAGTTTGATCAAGGTCAAATGGATGTTCATGTTCAGTATATAAATATCGATCAAATAAATCAAAATCACTTTTTTGATTGAATGATATAGAAGATGTTTCACAAAAAAATCGAAATTCCTAAAAATATATAATAAGAATTATGGTTCTTTGGGTTACAGGGAACTCCAAGTTTCATTTTCCAAAAACATTCTTAATTCTTCTAAACGTTCATTATGATATGAACGAAAATAAACAATACTTTGTCGACGCATAGCTTTTTGAAGTATACTCGAATCACTTTGTCAAAACTGTTCACCAATTTCCATAAGTTTAGAACAAAAAAAGATTTTATAATTATTTGTTTTTAAGAATGGAAAAAGAAAGATTTGTACCTATCAGTAAGTTTAAGTACTTGTATAAATGCTTCGAATTTAAAATGTGTCATGTTATTTTCACACTTGCAAGTTTTTGAAGAAGAAATTCTTGACTTGGTTCTGGTGTATCATTATTTGTTGCTTAAAAATAAAAGAAGAAAATAATGATTAATCGATTGAGAAACAAAACATTATATTTACATTCAATGGATGGAGGATTTTTTTCATGTCAAAGCCAGATTAATTTATAAGATTTAATTATTTGCCAAAAACATACATTACGTTAATGCAGACAACTTGAAAATGATTCTTCGGAAACCATCTAAATAGATTATAAAATAATAGAAACAAATCGAACGTCAGATTATCAAATTTACTTTACATAAATCACTATAAGACGATAAATTTTGTTCATTATTTATTGTTGCAACAGTTTTTAATAAAATTTCTAATGTATGTGTTTGTACAACATTAACAAAATGCATTTGTAATTGATCCATAGATGTTAATGATTTTCCAAGTAAACGATAAGCATTTAATAAACGTTGATATGTATGTGAATTAAAATATGAACAAAGTTTAGCTAATGTTACATCAATTGATACTTCGATAAAAAAAATTTCGAAATACTTGATAAATTATATTTTCACTTTTGCTCTACTTTCAAGTTATTCATATAAATATTGATATATGAACAGGCGTTTATTCAAACTTGAGTATTTTATATATTGATATTGATGTTATGTATCGGATTACGATGTTACATTATTATTCTAATATTTTATTTTATTCTATTTTATTCTATTTTATTCTGTTATAAATTACAACAGGTATCACCAGGTGCTAGTTATATTTATATTTCTTTTTCTTACTATTATACTGATGATGGCCGTATTAAACACCAAGAAAAGGTCGAAAATTCTACTAAAATATAAAAAATCAGTTATAAATAAATAAAACGAAAGAGCTACATTCTCTTTTATTTCGACATAAATATACACTTTCAATTTCCTTTCAAGTTATTCATATAAATGTTGGCATAAAGAGGAGCCTAGTAATTACGATCGAGCCATTCAAAAATAAATACACTACCTAGCAGGCAGACGACAAGCCAACAGCGACGTACAGGTATATTTACTTTCGACAAGCATTCGAATTATTCAAGTTCGATCTACTTAAAAATAACTAGTAATACGAGTAAGTGTTTCTGATCTATTTTTCTACAGAAATAAGACAAAATAATGACGTCGTCTTTCTTCAATATTTTCGCGATCGACTCATAATGATGTTGTACCAGTAAAAAAGAAAAAAATCGTTATATTTATAGACTTTTGCTAAGAGAAACAGTATGTATGTGTTATTACAAAGGTTTGATTTGATTTTGTTAACTGATGTTCAATAGTCTACACTTCAAAGGGTAACCAATAAAATCATTTAACTTTTACTTTTTGAAGTAAAGCGTACGAGTGATTATGTATGAGAAATGAATGTAGTATTTATTCTTAAACCACATCCATCTTGAGGATGTGGGTGTGAGAGTGTGATGGATATAATACCCATACTACACTCACCCGCATACTGGTAATTAGATACTTGTGTACAAGGGTTAGCGTCTCAGTGTAAGTGTGTACGAGTTCTGAGGGTGTAGGTGTGAGTCAAGAAAAGATACACATACACACCTTAAACACTTCAACACTCCTTTTAGTTCATGTATCACAAAAATTTCTATTATTATACGACATTATGTGTATGAACTTAAGTAGGATTATTCTAGATCTTTTTCTGCCCGTTACGATCTAGAAGAAAATTCATTTTGACAAAGATATATTAGGTACAAAACTAAATTGAAATGATCTACATTGAAAATAGAATCGAATTTTGATGAACAAACATTTGATCTTCCTATCAAAATTAATAAAATAATTATATTTGAGCTTTGCATTCAATTTATTTGTTTCTATTTCAGATAAATTACGATTACTGATTCTTTCATCGTTCTGATCATCATCTTCTATTTATTTTCAATATCTGGTTAACATATTACTTCATTTATTTTCGTAAGTATTGGCTTTTAAATGACTGAGAGAATAGAAAAAGGATAAAAGGAGAAATAATTTATTGAAAAGAACCATTCTTTTTTGTTTTCTCTTCTCGCTTAAGATATTTTATCACTTGAGAAGTCACTATCGTTGAATATTTAAGTTGTGAGTCTGGGATGTAAGTTAAGAGAAGATAGGCGTTCATAGCCCACCCACTACCATACCTATCGTTAGATCTCATATGTACAGAGGTGTAGACAAACAGATGGAACCGATGTTATGTGACAAAACAAAGAAAAAGATGTCCTTCACTGGACTCGAATCAAGTATCTTCCGCTATCCGGGGAGATATCAGAACGAGTTAGCCTGGACGAAACATCTAATCTTCGTTTCGTGTCAGCGTATATCATCACTGACGCTAACATCTACCCATTCCGCACCCCCACCCTATCAATGTGTTATTTTCGGTCCTACTTATCTTATTGAGCATACGTAGCTTCTTACAGATTTGCTGATATGACTTTCTCCTTTCTTTCCTTTTTTATTCATCTGACTATTGTTACTATTGATTCTTGACAACAAGCGACAGAGATATAACTAACTTTTTTAACGCACCAAAGGCAGTTGTTTTCTCATAGACACAATTCATGGCCAGCACGACACTATCACCACTCATCATCGTTGTATCCGGTGGTGGACCGGTTGGACTCACTTTTTCGCTTAATATTGCCGGGATGATGGGTGAACATGTCAAAATTATTATTTATGAGGGCCGATGGTTTGTTGATGAACATGATATTACTCGTTGGCAAGGTGAAGAGCAGGGCAACATTCGTCGTGATCAAGTTGTTACTTTACAAGACCATGTTATTGAACAAATGCCTACTTTTATTCAAGAAGGTCTGTTCCAAAATATAAACGAACGTGTATGGCCAACATCAAGAAATATTCCAATAAGAGAAGTTGAAGATCGACTTCTTGATCTAATTCAACCGTTTGTTCAAAATGGTCAAGTGGAATTAATTCCTGAACAGTTAAATGAACAATCTAGACATTTGATCGAAGGTAAATAGACGTTGTTTTTTCTTGTTATTTTAAAGATATATTCAATTAGAATTTTGTGTAGGTGATTTTGATGTATTAGTGGGTGCCGATGGATCGAATTCGTTTGTTCGTCGTTACTATAATATTCAAATGATCAGCGAAGGCATCGAATATGCGTGTGGTGTAGCATATAATATACCTGAGGATGTGCCACAAGTAGATGAACCTCTTCATCAAGCACTTAATTGTATATTAACGATCTCACAAACACGTTATTTAGTAAACTCGTCAGCGAGCCGTCGAGGTTATCTCAATATTCGTTTAATTCAAAATGAATATGAAGAGTTACGTGAATGTCTGCAACCATTTCAAAATCGTAATGCATCTTTAAATTTATTAGATTATGACAAATGTCCATGTTCACCTGTATGGTCAATTGTTCGACAAGGATTGGACTTTTTTAAAATATCTGCAAAGTATGTTATTCGTGTTGTACCAATCGAGATTAATGTTCGACATGCATCAATTGTCGTTCGAGAACTTCGTTTTGAAATTAACAAAACACAATCAACAACATCGACAACAGACAATGTGAGTGGCAGTCAGAAGAAACAATTTAAGACAATGTTAGCATGTCTTGCTGGTGATGCGGCAATGAATGTACATTTCTGGCCCGGTCGAGGTATGAACAGTGGAATGAAAGCAGCTATGGCACTTGCTCGAAATATCCTTCGTACGTGTACATCTACAATATCACCTTATTCAATCGAAGTTCGTACTCCACTTCGATTCCTCGATTTTCTCGATTATGAAGGTTTTATGGCTCGTCTTAGAGCACGTGAGCAACAAGGCCGTTCATTACGTATTCTTATGGATCCGATCGATGCAAGTGTTGGAGAAGCTTATACCTATCCTCATTTACAACCATGTTATAAAACATATACAAAGAACCTGTATGAAAAGTTGAAAGAAACAAGATTACGTCTGGATCACCGATCCGATTGGCCTCATCAAACAAGATCAGTAACCGATGAAGAATTACAATCTGCATATAAACGAATTAATCCTAATGCTGTCGCTCAACTTTCATTAGCTAATCCATGGCCAACACGAGAAATGAGTGGTACTGAAGTTCTTGTCGAACATACTTTTCCATTCAATCAGAAACAATTTTTACCTATACCAACAATAGGAGATGTTACTTCAGATCGTCGAGGAGGTTTACTTGAACCAACGATAGAAAAAGTCACTTTAGATCGTCAACGAAGCATTATCATTCAACATCACTTTCTCATTTTATGGATCACTGGTGACAAGATGAATAAAAATACAAAGAAAATTATTGATTCAATTCAGACTTCTCCTAAATTCACCGATTCATCAACAACAGCAACAGTGACAACAAATCAGCCGCAGAATTCATCTATGGGAAGTTTTCACGAACTATATGTAGTTCGTACTGTTAGAGAAGCTCAAAAGTGGATAGCGAAGAATCGTCAACGTTTAGAAACGCATGACACTCTCTTCAAAGTGATTACTGCATGGTCGCTTAACAAAGAAAAAACGGCAGTAGATGTAATTCAAGCAGTTCGTGCTGATACATCACGTGTTCCCGTATTAATTTTTACGAATACACCTGAACAAACACAACCAGCACTTCAATTTCCAAATGTTAATGCTACTTATGAAGTATACGATTTGTATGAGTTTGTCGGTATTAATCAAGAGACACAGTGGAATTCAGGCTGTCCTGTATCACCTGTTGGGAACTCACTATATACTTCAGGTATGTGGTTGATTGGAATAGTATGAGAACGCTGAAAGGTAGAACTAGTAGCGTAGCTAAGATTTCGGGTGTGGGTGAGGAAGAGATTCACCCTCATCCACACTCATACCCTTTTTGTTTTTGTTTTTAGAATTCGAAGGAAAATCATCAATTCATTTTATTTTCTTTCAACAAAAAGTAATTTTCGTAGAAAAAAGTTGTTTTTGACATTTGAGAATTGAAATTGAACTTTGAAAATCTTTCAAACTTTCACAAAAGATTTTCGAAAACAATATTCATTTCTCATTTTGATTTTAAACCTAAAACGTTTTTTCGTTTCAAAATCAAAACGAAACCTTTAATTGTTACAAAGAAAAAAATATTTCTCAACCAAAATGTTTCTTTCTTTGAGAAATTTTTGAATTTAAAAAGCGGAAACCTCTAGTTTTCTTTTAATTTTAATTTCTCAAATCCGATTTTTTTCCTTTTCTTTTTCGTCAAAAATCAATATTTCCACAAATTCATTTCAATAACATTCTCCTTTTTTTCACATTTTTAGAGCAAAACAAAACAAAATCTAACACATTCAGACAAAATGGAATTATTTGTGCAGGTGGAAATGGATATGGAAATCAATTAAATCAAGTCTCTTATCCTCAAGGAATCTTTATAGATCATCACAACAATATTTTCATTGCTGATTATTCGAATCATCGTATTGTTGAGTGGAAATGTCATTCGAACAAAGGACAAATCATTGCTGGAGGAAATGGTCAAGGAAACAGAATTGATCAGTTGTCTCATCCAACAGATGTTCTTGTTGATAAACAAAATAATTCTTTGATCATTTCTGATCGAGAAAATAGACGAGTAATCCGATGTTTTCGTGAAAATGAAGCAGAACCACAAATTCTCATTTCTGATATCGATTGTTTTGGTCTGTCAATGGATAAAAATGGATCTATTTATGTTTCTGATTCGAAGAATAATGAAGTGAGACGAAGGAAGGAAGGAGACGAAAGAGGAACAATTGTTATAGGTGGAAATGGACAAGGAGATCATCGCAATCAACTCAATAACCCTAGTTTCATCTTTGTTGGTAAAGATGATTCTCTTTATGTATCAGATACTTTTAATCATCGCGTGATGAAATGGAGAAAAAATGCAAAGGAAGGAATTGTTGTTGCTGGTGGAAATGGTAAAGGAAATAGTCTCCAACAATTGTCTCTTCCACAAGGAATGATGGTTGATCATTTGGGTCAAATCTATGTAACAGATTATGACAACCATCGAGTGATGCGTTGGTGTGAAGGAGATGTAGAAGGTGAAATTGTTGTTGGTGGAAATGGAAGAGGAGAAGAATTAAATCAATTGAATTATCCCAGTGGTTTATCATTTGATGATGAAGAGAATCTTTATGTTGCTGATAGCGACAATCATCGAATACTAAAATATGAAAAATGTCCTGATTAAAAGGTTTTGTTTTTGATCAAATGAACTTTGAGAAAACAAAGCAAACGAACTTTGAAATAATAATCAAAAAAAACTTTTGATGAGAAAATAAAAATAATTTGACTTTGTGAAAAGTCTTTGAACAATTTCAAAGAAAAGATTGATTTTTGAATACTTTTATTTAAACTTCAATAAAATCCTTTTTCAAATTTTTATTTTCTTCTTTTTTTCTGCAATTAAATAAATTTGTTCATCAAAATATTTTTCACTCAAAATCGATTTGACATTTTCATCTTCATGTCGTCATCGATTGATGTTTCTTTCTTTGTTCTTTGTTTTGATTCATTTGTATCATTTTTATGACAGAATTTTCAACAAAACAAAACGACCACAAAAGAATTTTGTAAAATAAAATAAAATTTCAATCGAAATAAATTCATTCCAATTATTGGACTCCAAGAAGAAAAAGAAATAATTCGAACAAATCTGTTCTTTAAAAATTGATCAGTTTGATAAAATAAATCTCTTCTGTTTGAGTTTGAAGATCTAAAGAGAAAATCTTCATTTATTCTCAAACATTTGTTAGTAACGAAAGCGATTTTTCGTCATATTTTTCATGTGAAATGTGAAAAGATCAAACATTTTATTCAACATTTATGACAAATTTGTTTTTCTCCTCTAATCAATTCTTTTTTCCTCATTGACCAACAACAAAAATCAAATAATTCGATAACATTTTTTCTTTTTTAAGAGAAACAAAATGAAGAAAAGAAGATAATTTGATTATTGAAAATGTTGATTTCAATTATTTTATTGATTTGAAATAAAATAAATAAATTATTTTTATTCAAAAGACAAAAAAATGATATACGAAACAATTATTTGATGATGTTTTGAAAATGTGTTTGATGATTTCTCTGTCAATTATCAGCCGATGCACAGATAAATATTTTAAATAATTCTTTATCGTTCGTTTATCTAAGAAGATCATCGATTGTTTTTCTAAGATTTATTTGAAAATGATGAAAATTTTGAAACGTTGAAAGAACTGTTCGTATCTATAAGTGTGAAAAATGATTAAATGAAGAGAAAATCTTTCCATTTCTTTTATTTTTCACATTGTGAAATACAAAATGATTTCAATTCGAAGATAAACAAAATGTTATTGAAAATTTGGAAATGTTAAACTATTGATAATAAAATGAAAAATAAGTTTGATAAACTGAAGACGTGATCGATTGTTGATGTTGTTAATAAGATAGTTTATAGAAAATCATGCGATGTTATTCGTCTCATATATAAAGAGATGTGTATCAAAATATTCGTGGAATAAAATCGATAGAGATGAAACTCTCTTCTTTTGTCTTTTAATGATTAGTTGTAATTGAAATGAGATTATTTCTCTTTTTATTTAAATGTAAAGAAAATAGATGAAAAGATATTTCTGTGTAAATAATATTTTCTTTTTTCTTTCTGATACTTTAAATATATTTTATAATTATTTGTATTTATGTTTTGTATATTTATGCTAAGAATCAAATTTTAGACTCGATGCAATTGAAATTTCATTTACGAAGAACATCTTAATTCTCTCATATTTAAATTTCTTAATCCGAATGATGTTTTTCTATTTAATAATTGAATTATAATAAAATAAAAGATCAATTTCATGAAGGAAAACATTGATTTGTGCGTGGATATGAGAGGATCTTCTCACCCATATTCTCAAGATGGAAATACCAATGAAGAATAAAAAATGCAAATAATACTAATAGAAACGATTCAAATTCCTTTTGGAAATAAACAATATATTGTTTCATTGACAGACTTTGGCTTAATGTTAACATTGATGTATAGAATATTAGAATTATATGAATCGAAAACTAAAGACATAAAAATACACATCATGTCTATATAACTGAATCTTTCTACATCCATATATATTGTAAAAGTGATGGAAGCACATGATCATGATGATTGATCGAAATATTTTTCTTCATAATTTTAATAAACACCTTATTGTTTCTCTCTTCTCAGACATGTGTAGAAATATTTAATTTACTAAATTCATCTCATAAAATTTGTTTTTAGATAAAATTATAAGAACAATATTTCACTAAATTATTGTGGCATAATTAATTAGTTGTCGAGTAGATCGAAATTATTGATAAGGATTTTCTAAAACTAAGTTTAATAATTGTATTTATAATAAAACATTTCTTCTACGTGAGAATTCTTAGGATTTGTCTCAACAGTATCAAAAAGAAAAAAATGTTTTATTCTTCTCTTATTGAATCTTATGAAAGAATATCGAAACTTGAAGAAGGATGAAAATAAAAATAAAAATGAAATTTATTAATAATTGTTAATTAACTATATTTAATAAACATCGACGAATTATCTTCGTTTTTTTAAATTAAAAATGAATAATCTATTAATATAAACAATTTTTACTGTCATTTTTCTTTTCAATTATCTATTTATAAATATTTATTGATGTATGTCTTGAAGGTGTGGGTGTGGACACGATGAATATTGATATTAACCACACCTAGTCCAGAGGCGAATGTATGTAAGGAATACCGGCGAACACCAGAATTCCACCCAGTATTTCATCCAGAACCTCCATTTTTTGTTTGATGATCCCCCTTTAAAATGGCATCATCTGATGCAGAATCTGATTCTGCATCTATGACAACCACTTTTAGACTCATCACAAGTCAAGAAGCGAATGTCAGGAGGAAACACTCGAATCTGCTGATAACTTTTAGTACTTATGTACGAAATAAAAATAGGTAATATGAAATAATACACACGGACAAATAAAGAAAGAGGAGAAGTTTTTGCAAACAGACATATACCATGATTAATAGTGACGACTATCGTAAATATTTATAGAACTATAATCTTTATTTTTTTAACATAATGGAGAAAGAGAAAAAAAGTTATAGATGAAGAGACATGCAAAAAGTGGCGCTTATATTGATTCAACAAAAACATAAAAAATCTGACTGCTATTCAACAATAAAACAATAAAACTAGAACTCGTCATCCGTTCGTATGTTTTCTTTCCTTTTTTCGATTTTCTCATTGATTAGTTGTCTTTTTTGGTAACTATATTTATTCATATCTTCAAAAGTTATTTATTATTTTATAATTCATTTTCCGTATATTTATAACTTTTGTGATGATGAGTGTCATGTGTTCTGCACATGATATATTCTCTTCTCTCGTGTTTGTTTCTTTCCATTCGACGCCTCTCACTTGTACTTTTGCTCTCCTTCCATATTTTGTTGTTGTGAGTCTGAGAGGGTGTGTTGGAATATATGTATGCATGATAGAAGGCGTTGGTAGTAGTAGATATATATTGCTCTGTTCTGTGTGTCTGCCGTGTGTGATATGCCTCATTCTTTTTATGTGGATTAGTGTTCGGTTATGGAAAAAACTAATATCTCACAATAAGAGTAACAACAACAAAAACAACGCACAAGCAACTAAAGTAGTAAAATGGCTTCGTTTTTTTTTATATTTATATATATATCTAACATACGTATGTCTACTATGTATTTTATATCGAAGATAAATCACTCGAAACATCAACATCAGTGCCAATTATAGTAATGCTGAATATGATTCGTCTATCGCACTCTTATCATAGTCTAATTTCCTTGATTCTGTCTGACTTTTTCCCTCATTATATGCATAAATACGTATGCTATCGAGAAAAGAACTTTTTTTCTTTTTCTTTTTCTCTGTTCTATGCTGACGGTTCGCGTTAAGTATATTGCAAATCTATTGAGTTTTATCTTTGTGTTAGCTTTCTTACTACTGAGATATTTCTCTGACAAAACTGAGCGAGATAACTAATTTTTTTTATCATTTTGTTTCATTGTTGTTGTTTTATTTCTTTTTCTATGATATAAGTATGAGACGAAACGACAATAATAACAAAAAGCTAGATGTATATTGGAAAAAAAGATTATATTAAAGTATTTATGTTTCCATCTTTTATTCTACGCTGCAAATACGTTTCGAAATAGTCAGTTTTCTTTTATTAATTTTTGATTGACATGTAAAATACACAGCCGAAGTCGTAGGACTGATTTATTTAATACGAAGAAAATTACTTAGAGTAGAAAGCCCGCAGAACCTTTGAAAAATTTGTAGAATAGGAATTGTAAAGAGTTGAATATATATATATATATATAATGCTGAGTGTCTATTCCAGGTCGGAGGTTAGAAAAAGATCAATGTAGTACACATAGAATTTCTGACATATTTGTAAAATACGCGGTGACCCATGACTTATCAAACAATTGGAACATACGAGTGATTTTCTGATGAATACTGTTGTTTTCAGCCTACAAAAATGAACGATCATCCAAGCTGATCCATAGATTTTTCTAGTGATTAGGTCAACTCCACTAATACTCATATATTCAAAATACTAGGCCTTTATATACTAGTTTGAACAGGATAATGAAGACTCGATTAGCTTTTGGGTCTGAATTGGGTTCGGTCTAGGGATGTAAATAGCTCGAAAAGCTCAGACTCAGTCAGGACTCGGTGTGAAGATGGGTGTGAATGTGGATGAGAGCGTGGCTGAAAGTGTGAGTAAGAGTGAAAAGGACAGTACCCACGTCCACTATCAAGATAGTCCACGCACTGCGTGAACTATTCAAAGAGAATCATCTTAACCTTGTGATCTGAGAACAGTAAACATAGAAGTACTAAACTCTTATATCAATTTCAAATCTGTTTTTAAAGAATATGAAATAATACTTTACTCGAGAAAAGCCATCCTAGTGAAGCTCTAACAGTGGGTCATACTGGTGCATCTATTTTAAATAACTGGTTCGAGTATTCAACAGATTAGTTACTGAATATCAATTATCTTTTTTATTCAGAGCGTAATCATATATTTAATTATGAAACAGCAAAAACTAAGAGATTAGAACGCAGATATATACTACCAAGATATGGATGCTGAAGCACCATAAAATAAAATTCATCGGTGTCGGTGAGGTTGAAAAGAGAAGTCCTAATTTGATTCTCGATGCCATCAACTATCACTAATATTCGAGTTTTGTTTTTTTCAGAGATACCGACAATGTCGATCAGTGATTATGAACAATGCTTGAGCGCATGCATTACACAAAACCAATACATCATGAAGAAACTGCAGGAATTTATAGTTGAAATGGAACATCATCATACTGTATGTAATTCTGTCAAAACAGGGGGAACAGCGGCTGGTTTATTTGGAACAGTATTGATGGTTGGCTCTCTAATAGCAGCCCCAGTCACTGGTGGAGCATCTCTCTTAATAACCGGCAGTGCGGCTGCTTGCTCACTTGGTGGTGCTGCAACAAACATCATCACTGGTGCAGTCGATCGAAGTAAAACTAAGCAAGCTATCGTTGAAATTCAGTCATTAATGGATAGTCGTAATGAATTGATATCGAAATTGAGAGAACAATCGAATCAATTCAATACTATGATCACACATTTAGTTAGGAGTGGTGTTGATGAACACATCGCATCACATGTTGCTTTGACTGGTATGAAACAATTTCGAAGTAGATGAGTTCTAATTCTTATTCATCTTTTCGTCTTTAGCATTAGCAAATGGTCATTACAATTCAAGGATAAGCACTGAAAACAAGTCTGTTAACGAAGCATTCGTTGCCATGGGTCGGTTTATTCAAACCGAATTCGAAATGATCAAAGCAGTCGAATCGACTTCTAAAGCTGTCGCTATTGTTTCAAAAACAGCTCCCGCTGTCAATCAGATGATATTGAAAAGTGCTCCTCTGCTAACGGAAGAGTAAGTTTTTGGGTGCATCTGTATTGTACAGTCTCTAGGTATAATAGAAGGTGGAAATGTGTGAAGGATAGGGAAAAGATCGATTTATGAGCGCTGAAAGCAGGTTATTAAATGGTTTTTATTTTCATAGAGCGGTAAAACTAGGTCTTACTGGCAGTTCAGCGGTGGCCTCGAGTGGTCAAATGTTGAAAACGGGCGGCGAAGTTTTGAAAGCGGGTGGTCAAACAACAGGTGCCTTAGTGAAAACGTTGGCTACGGCTGCAGTCGTTACATCTGTGGTCGTCAGTGTGGTGGATGTCGCCTTTTTAATCCGAGATTGGGAATCTGATCATCCGACTGTCAAAGTAACCCGAGATACTTGGCTACAACTGCAAGCTGAAACAAATAATTTCAAAGATTTACTATCGACGATTGAATCATTACGAGAACGCGTTTATCTTGCCAGTATTGACGACATTTCAATTATTGGTACGATCGACCACGGAAATATGGCGATGATTGCTTTATTGAATCAAAACATTGCACAGTGTATCCAAATCTGTAAAGACATGGATATCGATTGGCCGTTTGCTCGCGAGATGACCTCCAAACAGATAGTCGCGCTTCTGCAAGAACATCAAGCAGCACGTGGATTCAATCAAGAGGAATTAGACACGATTGTACAACAACGTGGAAAAAAGGCCCGTCAATCAGTCGTTTCTTTGACTTCCAGAATCGTTGAACAAGTTCAGGAAGAAGCGAAGTCCGCTCAAAAAGAAAAAAAGCCATCGAAGAGAAACCAGCGTGGTGAACATGTGATCAATAACAACGTTCTTTCCGTACAAAGAGACATTATCGACATGTTTCTTCGTCAAAGACTTCGGATGACGTTTGCCGAGCTACGCAGAATTCCACCGGATAGTTCTATTTATCGTGCTTATCATCATTCTTATGATACAGAGGTAAAAAACAACATTCAAAACGTTATGATTGCAAGAATTTTAGATAATATCTTCTATTTCGATGCCAATGCTCTTTTATATGGCATATTGATTTATGTTCTTAGAGCATCAGCTCGAGATCACATGAGCTACTTTTATGACAATTCGGGTGCACAAGGTTCTCCTTCAACATCGAGGCTTCGTATAACTCGTTTTCTGATGAATCAAATGCAAATATACGTCGATCAGTTTGCTTTGCAATACTGGTTAAGATTTAATGGTGGTAGTCTGTCGACCTATGAGAGATCAAAGGTATCAGTCTATCGGATGTTCTCAAACTTGGATGATGAAATTCGAGTTTGGGTGCAAGAATTGAAACGTTTTGGCTATTGATACCAATAAATCAAAAACAAAAACTCGATCTTTTTTCGCGTTTGCCTGAAACATTGAAGGTGGGTGTGTAGGTATTGGTGTAGTAAGAGTGTGGATGTGAGTGAAGAGAATAACGACACTCAGACGCTCACTCCTACGCTACCACATCTACATCTACACCCACCCACACCCACACCTACCCAAAATAAAGAATAAATCTAATATCATAGGATTAAAAAACTATGTTTTAATTAATTTCATAAAAATTATATTGTTAAGAAATGAAGAATGATCAAATAAGATAATAGATAGTATTATTTTTTACTGGATAGTAGAGTTGTTTGAAGAATATAATCAAATAATGCTATATTATTATACTAAGGAAAATATCGTTCAAAATATCGACATAAATCTCCTACTGTGGCTTGATGATGCATTAAATATTCATAAACTTTAGTGAATGAGTTAAATAAATTTTTATTTTCAAAAGCAGCATAAACTAGTAGACGTCTAGCTTCGGATGCAGCCGTTAATTGAATAATTGCTAAAAATAAATAATTTCAAAATAATTTTTATTTAATATTTAGAGTAAAATTGTACCTTTCAGTTCTTTATCATCATTAAATACACCACAACCTCAGTGTGGGTATGGATGTGGGTGTCATTTGAACCATATTTACCCCTACACCGTCAAGATCTGATATAGCAGAATTCTGCTTAGTACTTCTACAAAAGCAATAGAATTCTATTTCGAATTGAGGGTGGGGTGTACGTGTGAATATATATACTCTTAGTACACACCCACACCCTCAAAACTCAGCTTGCCCATATGAAGCTGCACAGTTTATCAAAAAAGGTCAGCGTGGTGTTTTGTGTGAGAGATACAATTTGTTTGTTAGGTCGATCACGTGGAAATCCTTGAATAAAGAGTTTCTCTTCATAATGTTGTTGCATCTTGTTCTTGATTTGTTTGTGTAGTAAAAAACATTCCAGCATGTCTTGTTCGTCAAGTCGAATGGTTTTCATTCTTTTTTAAGCTTTTCTGAAATTACAGGTACGGAAAATAAGTCTGAAGTAGCGCCTATAAAATGAGTGGCATGTATAATTGTCCCGCGATCAATATTTATTGAACGGCTATTTTTCTATGAATTTAACTTATTTCAAATTACATTTATTTAAAAATAAATAGTTAAAAAAAATAAGTAGTAAAAGAAAATGTATAGCAAAATATTGCGTAAATCTTTGATAAAAGAAGACGAGACAGGACAGAAAAATACTTGTCCCGTTGATCTTTGTTTTTGATATTTCTTTTTCTTTCAGGTGTGCATCTGATGCAATGCATCTACAATGATCATTTCTTTTTCCCTTTCTTTATTTGTCTACGTATGCACATACGAGACTTTGCATCGCGAGTCATAGGTTTTTATCCTGTAATGTTAAAACATTTCATCATCATCATCGCAATATTTTGTAATTCTTGCGTAAGGCATTCATGTATATATACTGTTGTGTTGTAAATTCGATTACTTTCATTCACATACGCTTTTTATTGATTCATATTTAATAATGGGAAGAGAAAAAATTCATATTAACATTGTCGTCATTGGTCATGTTGATTCTGG